TCAAGAGCCGGAAATAAACTAAGCGGCAGATGAAGTGGGACACCCGAAAAATTGCCTAATTTTGACTTGCTATAACTTCGACATTTCTTTGCCGATCTTGGATTATCAGGCAGGGTTACAAAGCGCCATCTTTGGTCTATGCGTCAGTGTCGTCGTACATTTTTTTAAAAAATTCCTTCTCGTTATATAGGGTGTGAATATAACGCGGTGAAAAATTTCCATTTCTTGGCGAAGAATATGGAAAAGATGGAAGGTCCAATAAAGTTCTTTCTAGTGGTGACTCGATCACTAGGTCAACACCTCGAGACGTCTTTGCCATTTTTTTGATACATTACGCGTTGCTATGGAAATATGGCCATTTTATGGTATTTCGTTTTACTCTTGAAATTAGAGGTTCTTTAATTAAACAATAACAGATTCCGTTTAAATTACATCATGGAATGACTTGTATAGAAAATGGACAACACCAGTGGCGTGCAAAAGGGAATTTATGAAATTGAAATTTAAAAAAAATCGATTTATTTGAAAATTTTGACGGTTTTGTTGAGCGTTACAGTTGAAAAGGTGTTATAAATAACTGTGATGAGTTTTATTTTGATTATCAGAGGCGTTTAGTGAAAAAAAAAACAGTATTTTTCATGTTATTTAATGTTAACGAGTGAACAGGCCTGTTAACGGTACTGCTGCTCACCGACACGGTGGAGGATCCCAAAAAAGAACAAATCCTCGTCAGTATCGACTAGTAGTACGTAATGCAATTGAAAACAGAGTTCGGACTGTCAAGAGAATCCTAACGCATCTGTAGTTGAATGTTTCAGCAGACGCCATTAGAAGGCGCCTACATGACCGGATTAAATTCTCCCGTTGGGCAAAGTGCCCACTTTTTACAAACATTCACCGGGAGAACTGAAAAAAATGGGCCCAGTAGGAACACCTGAATTGGGATTTTTGGTGGAGAGACTGTCTTTTCGTTGATGTATGCCGTTTTAACCTCTACAATTCTGACGGTCGATTGCTTATCTGGCGGAGATGGGGAGAACGTTTTTTAGAAGAAAACATGCGTCCCGAAGTTGCATTTGGCGGTGGAGGATTGACAGTTTGGGTCGGTATCTAACACATCGGAAGAACATAACTCGTCGTGGTATTTCGGGGCAATGTTAACGGCCAAGTGTCCCTGGATAAATGTCAGATTCCGCAAGTTCTCCGGCATGCTCGAAATTATGGCGGGGATTTTGTTCTTGTAGACGATAATGCTTAGCATTATTAGTGAACCGGTATCTGCAAGGGCAAAAGTTCAATCGTACCGAATTCCCTCCTAGATCCTCAGACATGAATCCAATTGAGCACGTCTGGAGCTGAATGAAGTTACAGCTTTCCCGGGGAGAACGTCAGCCAGAAGCTCTAGACGATCTCGAGGAGATGATTCTGGAGCTCTCGCAGTCCGTTACTATAGAGCTAGGGTTGCCACCTTTTGATTTCCGAAAACCCGGACATAATCGATAATCAATCCAAGCTAGGATACATTAAACATGCGTACATACCCTCGATCGTACATAATATGTACCATCGTCACCAAAAGTATCTGGGACACATATAAGGCATAATAATCTCCTGGACTAATTCTACTGTCATTCATTTCAATGCATTTAATTCATAGTTTGACAAATATTTGACAATAAAATTCATATAATAGGACAAGAGCTATGTGATGCTGTCCCAGTTACTTTTGGTGACGATGGTACCTACTTTATTATGATCGTCTTTTGGAAAATAAAGCACCGCGCTGAGTTATGGTTGTATTTTATTGCACTAAGTTGCCTGCCTACAAAATTTGCTTATGAATTTAAAAAAAAGGTGTTCCATAGCCTAAGGCGAAGCTAGGAAACCAGCCAAGGATGCACCGGCGTATCCAGCCCATGCGTCTGGGGGGGGGGTAATCAGCCCATTTTTTCCCGGGTGCCACGCCCAAAAATGTTTACTTTGAGCATTCAAAAAAATTTTTTTCTACGAGAGTGAGGACAATTAAACAGTGCGGAAAATCGATTTTCTCGCACGGTGCGGCGAATTTTTTTCCGCACGGATATCGGTGCGGAAAAATCTAAATCTTTTCCGCATGGCTGTCAAAAAAATATCAATAAATGACTACAAATTATGTAGGTATATGCAAGGCAGTGTTGTCAATCTGAATTTGTGAAATTGCACGATATGCTGGTAAAATTACACGTTTTTACACGCTTTCATTTATCACAATTACACGATTTTGACACACGATCTTGGTACCCAATCTGTAACATCAAGAAGCAAGTATTTTTTTTTGTGATTTTGGGAAATGGGTTAAATCGTTAATGCCCGATTGCACCGTCTCTCTTAACCGAGGCTTAGAGATAACTATTCCTTAAAGTGACATTTTCCCATGCAAAACTGTCAATTTAAGGGATAGTTATCGTTAAGCCTCAGTTAAGAGAGAGGGTGCACTCGGGCATAAATCCAGTCAAATCTGAGGGTTAATGCTCCTGATCATAATTCCTCAACGAAAAATAAAAATGTGGCAACTACAGAAAAGCGTTCCGAAAGTAATCGAATTATTAATTACTAGTTCCTGGAAAAGAGGTTACTTTTGGACCTCAGTTTCCTGCAAGGATACTACACACTACTACTATAGGATAGTCTATCCTCATAAGGCCTGTGTAGTTCAATCTGAAGCCGCCGCTGCCATGCCAAAATATCAGTGATGACGTAGACAGCGTGTCGTTTCTCGTCTTCACGTAGGGTGTTTGTACCACAGGTTATGATTCCGCGGGCTTTTCCTTTATGCAAAACTTGGTTTCACTACATTAATTAATATTCTGAAACAACTCTTTCTCGTTTTTGGTAATCGCCGCCATATTGGTTTTCAACTGTTTTTAACCATTGTCGACGTCATAACTAAGTTTTCAGCTGTTTAAACAGCCTACGTCAAGGCGAGAAACGCCATGCTGCTTACGTCACAACTGTTTGTTTGGCTAAGGGGGGTAGAGGGGGATTTTTTACAAACAGGCCTTATGAGGATAAGCTATCCTGTAGTAGTAGTAGTGTGTATCATCCTTGGGTATATGTACCTACTTATTTCCGCACGTCTGTAAAAAAACTATTGTACCTAACACATGCGGAAAATCTGTCTTCCGAACTTGGCTGCTTCACCGAATTCCGCTACGCGTCTTTGGGTGAACGACAGACTCGTGCGGAAAAATTCATTTTTCGCACTTGTTAGGTAAATATATTCTGTACTACCAACAAATAACGAAACCGAACTCTGATAGCGAATTCCATTGAAATAAAGGTTAGTGCGCACCGAGTGTATTCGTATCTTATTCTACCAGCTTATATAAGAAAGAGATAAAAATACACTCTTTCGCACTGATTTTACCAATGGAATTCGCTATGAGAATCGCCTAAAACTTTTCAATTATAGGCATAGCGAATTCTATTGGTAGGATTAATACAAAAAAATTATTTATCTCTTTCTTATGCAAGCTAGTAGAGAAAGATATGAATACACTCAGTGTGCACTATCCCTTTGAATAGAATTCGCTATAAATGGTATGCGGGCAGTGCGGACACTGTGCAAACTAGAAAACAAGTTAGGGCCAGTTGCTGAAAAGTAAAAATATAAAAAATAGATTTATTTGTAAGGTGTAGGGTACATTTTTTTCGTCCATCGTAACGATCTTGGGGGGGGGGGTAATTACCCCCATTACCCCCCCCTTGTATACACCGGTGCAAGGATGGCATTAAATCTGATTTTTTGCTGTGTGAAATATATCATTTTTCTCCGAATTTGTTCCAATTTCACACATAATCCACTTTTTATATTTATTGCGTTGGCCGCTGATAACGTTTGTTGAATAGGTAGAAACGAATTTTTCTGCCTAGGCAGAAAAAGTCCACTTTTTCGTCACTAACCTCGAAATTGGAGACGTTTGTGACACACCCGTCATTTAAGAAGTAGGTACCTACGTTCAGAAATTATTCAGGTATATAGACGTTTGGCAATAGGCCCCTTGCATCAAATTTTTTTATTGCTGATTTCGATAGTCCATGAAAAATAAGTCAACACGTGTTTTTTCTTTTTCTTGTTAGTCAAAAATTGACGGAGATGCAACGCTTTGAAATGTCCTTCTGACGTCATAACTTATAATACGTTGTGATGCACATGCTCAGTATATCTATATATACAAAACTCAATATTTGTATAACTTTCGAAATAATCATATTTTGGACAAAATAAAAAAACACGCATCAATTTTTTTTCGATTTACTACAGTTTGCAATAAACAATAATCAATTTAATTTTCCATGCAAGTACCCAATTGCCTTTAACAATTTTATCATTAATTATTATCAATTATACAGTTATCCAGATATTCCCGGACATTTTCATCATGCGTCCGGACACCGGACAAACCTTTAAAAAACCGGACAGTCCGGGTGAAAACCGGACAGGTGGCAACCTGTGTGAAAAAGCCTTGAATCACTTTTGCCGAACGAAAACAAAAGTTGTCAGATGCTGCTTGTTGTCATTTCTGTACACGTTTTGTTCATGTTTTCCGGAGGTGTCGTTTAAAAGCAAAATGTCCTACCTGCAAAGTTATGTTCCCGAAAGAAAATTTCAAGTCCTCAAACTTCAAGCCACGAATATTAAAGACCAAAATTTTAAAACCAGTGAACAAAATCTTGAAGTTATTTTGTTTGCAAACTAACAACCATGGTTTGCCATGGTTGTTGAATTGAAGGGAGAATCGCGTAGTGACACTTCTTATCGGTACTGGTTCACACAAAGTCATACATAACAAAAAAGTTGGCTAAAGAAGTAGGTTACAAACCAATTAGAAACAAGCAGCTAGTTCCCTCACTGTTCAAAGGAAGTAAAACCGAAACTATAAATTACATAATGCTACAAAGTTCGTCTGTATAGTCTAACTGAAAATTACTGTTGTAGTTTTGAAGTTTCGGATCAGTCACTGATTTGTAACTATGTTAGTTTTGTTACAAAAGGACCCTGGTTAGGTCAACTAAAAGAAATGGGTATCGAGATAACAGATAATATGAATGGACCCATCGATGTATCATGTATCGGTAGGCGCTCATGAAGCTGGTAAGCTATTTTCTGGACGTAAACATGATTTAGAGTGCGGATTGGTTGCAGTTCATACATTACTAGGTTGGACGCTTATAGGTAAACTGAAGCCAACTTACAGAATGAAAACATCGCTACTTGTAACTTCTTTGTTTTCAAAAGATTTTGACCCACGCCTAACTTATGGAATTTAGTTCTTGGAATTCGAGACCCTATAGAAAACAAATTTCAAAAGCAACAAGAAGCATTGGTCATGGAACATTTTTTGTCAACAGTGAAACAAAAAAATAATAAACGATATGAAATAAGTATGCCATGGCTTGAAGGTCACTCTCTTCTATTGTCTAATTTTGATTTGTCATACAAAAGACTTCACGACACCACGAAAAAATTGAAAAAAGATAATTTTTACGATATTTATGATGAAGTCCTTGATAATTGATTAGCAGATGGAGTGATAGAACCATTACCAGATAGTAACGAACCTTTTTGTCAGTTTGGTCATTTTTTTGCTATACCATCCAGTTTACAAACCTACTAGAAGACCTGTTTTTGATGCGTTATCAAGAGAAAAAAATCAATCATCTCTGATTCAATGTTTGGAAAAGGGTATCAATCTTATTGAATTGATCCCTTCCATGATTTTACGTCTTCGAACAGAGAAGATTGGAGTAACTGCTGATATAAAAAAGGCATTTCTTCAGATCAGCTTACAAGAAAGTGAACGAAACGTTAAAGTTCCTGTGGTATGATAAAGACGAAAACTTAAAAATATTCAGACATACAGGAGTGGTATTTGGAGTATCATGCAGTCTTTTTCTATAAGGAGCAGTTATGGACTACCAACTTAAGGAAAGAAGAAGTAATCTACAGTCGTGATGTTATTTCCAAATGAATCAAGTCTTTTTACGTTGAAAACGTTCTAGCCAGCGTATCAGATAAAGAAGCTTTAAACCAATTTATAAACAGATTTTCCAATAGGTATCAGAAACATGGGCGTCTGGAAAAATAGTTTTAAGATACCTATTCATTATAGAAATACAGATTATCAGATAATGCTCAAAGGATATTCAGATGTTGATTGGTCGACAGTTAGGAAAGATAGGAAAAGTGTAAGTGAATGCATAATTCTATATGGAAAAGACCCGATATCATGGTTTTCAAAGAAGCAAACTTGTCTGGCATTATCTACAGCAGAAGCTGAATATGAAGTAGCTCAAGACCTAATCATTAATATTAAGGGTATTTTGAGAAAGTTTAATTTATTTGACAAAGCTATTCTGTTTTGGTGATAATGGAAGTGCAACCCTAATGTCTAAAAACAATGAAAACTCGAAAAGGATCAAACACATTGACACCAAGAACTATTATTTAAAAGATCTGATTTTAAAATTATAATTGAAATCATCTAAAAAAATTGGGCTGATATTTTAGTATTATGTAAAGTTTCTTGAATGCTTTATTCATAGCGATTTTCACGTAGGTACAGAAGATTAAAGCATCTTGAGCATAGGATTTGGAAACTTAGAACATAGGAAGGAAACTTGGAAACTTCTCAAGAGTCTCAACATTTTTCAGCAGACTGAAAATCCAGCACAGATATGCTAAATTTCTGCAAAAACAGAAAGGAAAATGTAATATTGAATTCAAATTACTAGAAATTGAAAGAGCTTTGTAATTGATTAACGAGAAACTCTTAAGTATGTTTACAAAAATTCAACATTTTGCCTCACCTAAATAAAAAAATTGCCATTAGCGCCCCAAATTTGTTTTAAAACATTCTGTGACTCTAAAAAAAACCTTCTACTTCTACATCTAGAATAATTTAAGGAACACCAAAAGACTTTTATGCCAGGACAATAATCTAGAAACGCATAACAATGTCTTTATTATCGTATATCCGCTATTCGCTGTGTCAAAAAATCCCTTGTTCAGCACCATTCCCACCGCTTTCGGTATGGTGCAAGGTATTCTGGTTGGCATCGCAAGAATTCGGCCTACCATTACCACCAACAGCCCCATGAACCATCAAGTTGTGGTTCATTAATTTGGCGCTGTGCTCCTGAGCTTTGGCTCTGAGACACGCTATTGAGTTGTTGCGGAAAACTTCCGGATCGTCCTGGTAGGAATTGTTGGGGTTGGGTTGTTGTTGGGGTTGTTGTTGCAGTAAGCTGGGGTCTTTGATGTCAGTGCTTGGGGTTTGAGATGAAGGGTGGTTTTGGCTCGAGGTGGCGCTGGTGTCGCTGGTGTCCGTGCGCATCGAGGTGGTGTCCTCGTGGTCGCTGGTGGTGTCCGATTCTTTCAGTTGTTCGGCGGCTTCGAGGGATTTTCTGTGCATACCTGAAACATACGGAAAAACAATTGGTTATTTGGTTATTTTTATGAATTTGATTCCCTAAAAAAGTTTTATTAAGGTTTTTTTTTAAGAATTCAGCATTGAAATTGGAAGAGTTGGAGAAATAGAGGTCTGCACACCTGACAGTTTATTAGAAGGTGAATAAACCCTAAATTACAATGAGTTTTTTTAACTCTATTTGAGTTAATTATTAAGAAATTCTCGAACAAAAAATTCAAAAACAATAAGAAACAAGCAAGGAAAAATTGAAAAAAAAATTTTGGTGATTTTAAAATTTCATCAATTTTGAATATTTTTAACAATGGCATACACTTTATAAACATCCCTCGTAATGTATTAAAATTTTACTTCATTAACATACAAATTTCATTTGTTTGACAGAAAACCAAATACCCATAAATGGTGTGTGAGGTCCTTTGATTTTTATATAAATTTGTATTTGTTCTTTTGATATACATATTTATATATGTTTTCCTTTTTATATTACAATTTCTGTTTATTCCAGGCTCTTGTTGCTATTGGCCGGTTATTTTTCAAGTTGGCAACATGTATTTTGTTTGGCCAGTGGCGTTGCTTATGGGGGGTTTTAGTCAAACCAATCGAAAACTCGAAATTTTTATTTTTCATATTTTTGAAATTTTGACTTTTCCAACTGATTCAGCAGGTTTAAATTAATTGAAAAAAATTCTAGCATCACTTTCAAAATGACAATTTCAAAAAGCTAAAAAATCTCAATTTTCGTTCTGGAAATTTTTTCAAATCTTGACAAGGTTAAGAATAATGGTCAATATCTTTAAAGAAATTTGAACAAATCAAAACAAATTATATATGGTTGGAAAGAGCATTAAATTCTCTATAAATCCATGCTAAATTGGTTCTGATAACTCGAATACTTTCTGGACAATTGATTCTCAAAGTATACTTTTAGTCCAAATTTTATCAAAAATTTCAAACTCGATTTTCTCGAAAACCATAAGAGCTAGCGATTTTAACTAAATACTATTTTAAAGCCCTTGTCAAGAGTTACATTTCCTGAAAATTTTAATTCAAAATCTTTAATAGATTTTAAGATATCCAAGATCAAATATTTTGAAATAAAAATCTAAAAGGATAACCCTTTGAAAAATTCCAAATTTTTATTGATATTAAATTTTGAGCAAATCAATATAAATTATATATGGTTGGAAAGAGCATCAAATTCTCTATGAGTCAGATTTAGATTGAGTTCAATAGCTCAAATACTTTTAAAGCAATTGAGCCTCGAATTTGGATTTTAGTTAAAACTTAGTCAAAAACTTCAAACTTGATTTTCTCAAAAACCGTAAATGCCAGCGACTTCAACTAAGTACCATTTCAAAGCTCTCATTAAGGGCTACAATCCAAAAAAAAATGATCCAAATTCTTTGACGGGTTTCGAGAAAATTGAGTTTGAAAATTTTGAAATTAAAATCCAAAGGAGTTTAACCCTTTGAAAAAATCGAAATTTTTATTTTTCAGATTTTTTGAATTTTGACTTTTCCAATCGATAGAGCGGCTCTAAATTAGTTGAAAAAAAATCTAACTTCATTTCCAAATCTCGATTTCAAAAGAGAAAAAAAATCGAAAAGAAAATCTCAATTTTCAGGTTTAAATTTTTTTTAAATCCTAACAAAGTTAGGAGCAATTGCCAATATTTCCATTAAAATTTGCGCAAATCAAAACAAATTATACATTGTTGGAAAGAGCATTAAATTTTCTATAAATCAATGCAAGATTGAGCTTCATAGCTCAAATACTTTCCGAACAATTACACCACAAAATTGAATTTTAGTCAAAAAACTATCAAAAACTTCAAACTAAATTTTTCCAAAAACCGTAAATGCCAACGACTTCAACCAAGTACCATTTTAAAGCCCTCATCAAGGGCTACAATCTCAAAAAAAATTGATCCAAAATCTCTGACGGGTTTCGAGAAAATTGAGTTTGAACATTTTGAAAAAAAAATTCAAAGGGTACCTTTTGGAAAAACATTAAAAAACTCAAAATTTTCATTTTTCAGATTTTTGCAATTTTGACTTTTCCAATCGATAGAGCGAGTTCAAATTAGTCGAAAAAAACTCTAACATCATTACAAAATCTTGATTTCAATACAGAGAAAAATTAAAAAGAAAATCTCAATTTTTAGGTTTAAATTTTTTTTGAATCCATCAAAGTTAGGAGCAATTGCGAATACCTTCATTAAAATTTGCGCAAATGAAAATAAATTATATAAAGTTGGAAAGAGCAATAAGTTCTCCATAAATCAGTGCTAGATTGAGTTTCATAACTCAAATACTTTTCGCACAATTGAGCCTCAAAGTTGTTGTTGCAATACATACAGGTTTCCAAAGCCTTCTTGGTTTGATATAAGCACGTAAGGCGAGAATTTTCCTGAAAAATCAACTTTCAAGATTTCTGATGATTTTTTTTTTTTAAATCTGGTGTTTTTTCATTCCAATTTCTGGTGAATTTAATTTTTTTTGACCTGGCAACAGTGGTCTGCGGCTTGACGATAATAGTCACATCCGGGATAGGGATGAGTGCCGAAAGCATTCCCTAAAAAGATCATAATTCCATTTCTGAGGCTGAAATTGACTTCAGATTTGTTATATTTGAAGAAAAGACTTTAATTATGAATTCCTGAAAGTTTCAAGTTGCTCAGATTCCTAGAAGTATTTTTGAAAAAATTCCAAAGTTGATTTGTTAGGAATTTTACGAGGGTTTTTTTAAAAAATTGACAATTCCATTTTTGAGGCTCATATCGTCGCTTTTCTGACAAATGGGCGTAAGCGACAATATTTCTAAAATACAGATTATTCCATGAAAATATTGCCATGGAGTACATTTATGATCTGACCAACTGGCGTATCTGTATAAGTAGTATTTTCCCAATTAGAACGTGGTTCGTATGGGCGGAAGCGACATCAAAAGTAACTGCAGGATCTTACTAAGAGGCGTATATCCCGAAAACGGATTTACGCCTTTTTGTCAGATTTTCAACGAAAAATGTTTGGCTGATGTGCCCCCGATGAGCTATAACTTCGCACCGGCAACCATGTAGCATAAATTCATACATAATCATTCCAGTTGCTTCCTGTGGTATTTACCCTGCAATGTTTTCTACATTTTTCTGTTGAAAGTGAAGATATTAAGAGTTTGAGTGTGCCTTTTATTACAGTGGTATCTATATAGGTAAGTTATCAGTAGTTATAAATAAAAACAACATGAAAAAGATGGCACGCACCCTAAGAACAGAAGGAACAGCATACGTGAGTCCCTTTTTGAAAAAGCAAGTTCCGCAAAGAATCATGAAGCCGCGATGTGATTCTCAAAAATGTAAAAATGAGGGCTGCAAGTTGTTTACTAAGGAAGAACAAGAGCGCCAGAAAATATTTTATGCTTTCTACAATACCAAGTCTCCAATTACAGAGGGAGCTCATTGTACGCCATATCAATGAGAATGATGTTTACAGGAGAAAAACTGCTTCAACAGAGTCCAGAAGAACAAGGACTTTGGCTTATTGCTTACTAAAAGGCAGAGGATCTTTACCAGTTTGTGAAATTACGTTTCAGAACACACTGGCAGTTTCCGAAAAAGCAGTTCGGACGGCAATAAGTAAGAGAACGGTGGAAGGCAGAGTTTTGTTCGGTAAACGTGTTGCATTGCGTTATAGAAATTCGACAAAAAAAGGAAGTTATGAGATCCTCAGCACATACAAAAGTTCCCAAAAATGGAGTGGCACTTTTGTAGGAAATCGACTTCAAAAGAATATTTACTCCCCGACTTAACGTGAAGAAAATGTTTAACTTGTACCAAGAAGAGAGCCTGGAGCAGCCAAAATGCAACTACCATACTTACCGTAGAGTATTTGAATCACTGAATCTGTCCCCTGTCTTTCTACCATTCCAGGAAGGACCAATGCAGTCTTTGTTCGTCGTACAGGGAAGCTGATGCAAATAAAAAATTAGAGCTTCAAAGATGCATGCACTGCACATGTCGCCGAGAAAAACACTGCGCAAAAAGAAGGAGGGTGCTAAGGAAATGTCCAAAAACAACCCAGATTTAATAGCTGCTGCTGTTTTTCACATGCAACAAGTTATTCAGTTTCAGTTACCTATAAGTAACGAAAATGCATTGTTTTATCGTAGTCGTAGTGCTTCTCTTGGTCTGAAGTTATAAGTAAAAGGGTTGCCAATGAAATTTCTACATGCGTTGGCAGATATTTACGCAACTGTACAACCAAGAAATCAAAGAAGTAAGAAGTAAAACGCAGTTGGTTGTGGTGGCCAGAATAAAAACACAATCGTTTTCACCATGTTACTACAAGCTGTCGCAAATTCGAAAAACATACGTGAAATTGTATTGTCTTTTTTCAAAACAAATCATGAGCAAAATGAAGGTGATTCCGCCCACAGTTCTATTGCAACAGCAATTCGGTCCGCGGGAAATATTTATATATCAGCACAGTTCCCCCCATCTTCAAACTCGCCAGAAAAAAAATGGTCATACTCGGTTTTTGAAAAAATCCACTTTTGTGTAACCAGAAAACTGGACTCTGGTGAAAATGTCGATTGGACCAAAATTAAGGAGGTAATGGTAAACAAAGATGACATCACTATAGTAAATATTTGAAAAACTCACCATGATGCTGAATATCAGAAACTGCCACTACCAAGATTACCATCTGATGTGCTTTAAAAACCTACCCAAATCAAACAGTGGCCAGATAAAACTCCCAGCAAATAAATACAAAGATTTTTCTTTTTTACAATAAAGTTGTTTATTTTATTTCCTATGAATTACAGGGACTTTTTTTTCAATGTTAACTTTTGTTTGTGTCTCGTTATAAAGTGGGATTTTTTTTTTGTTCTTTATCGCAGATTATTACTGATGTTTTGTTAAGTGCAGTACTAGGCATAAGTACGATAATAATAATATTCAGATCCCACGAAGGGACGTATGTCC